AATTCAATAAAACTCTCATGGACCTTGTATTCTAGTTGGAGAAGAAATAAAAAAGGCTGGCCAGTTGGCTAGGGCACAGTGTTGATAAGGCCAAGAGTTTGGATCCCCCTACCAGCCAGCTGCAAAAATAAATAAATAAATAAATTAAAAATAGACATTTCAGACAGTGAGAAGGGCTAGGAATAATAAGAAGGGAGCACGATATATTTAGGAGGCTATTTTAGGTAAGGTAGTCTAGGATCACCTCTCTGAAGTAGTGATATTTAAGCAAAGAACTACAGATTTGAGAAAAGGGTGTTTAAGGCAGAGGGAAACAGCTTGGTGTGTTTGAGAAACAGAAAGACCAGTAAATGGGGGGTTGGGAGATTGGGGGGTGGGCGGGGAGTGATACGAGATGAGTAATGAGGAGTAAGCAAGTTCCAGATCATGTAAGCCTTATAAACATGAATAAAGAGTGTTTATTCTTCATAGAATCAAAGTGATGTGATCCAATTTATATTTTAAAATGATATATATTTTGGCTGCTATGAGGAGACCAGATAGTGGGGAGGCAAAAGTAGAAGCAGGGACTCCAGTGAAAAGTCTGTGATACTGCAGTGGAAATGGTGAAAAAATGGTTCAATTTAGGATATACTAGGTGGAAAAGTCATGAAGACTTGCTGATTAATTGGATTAGGGGGGTGATGGAAAGGAAGGAATCAAGGATGACTTCTAGGCTTTTTGGTCTGAGCACCTGGCTTTGACAGCTGATGCCATTAATGAGATGGGATGACTAGAGGCAAAACAAGTTTGGAGGGGGTAGTAAAATCAAGAGTTCTATTATGCACTTATTCATTTTGAGGTCTTCTAGACATCCAAGTAGAGTTATAAGAATAAGGTAGTTAGGGCCGGCCCGGTGGCGCACTGCTACAGTGCGCCGCTTGGGGAGCGCGGTGGCGCTCCCTCCGAGGGTTCGGATCCAACATACAGACCGGTTCCCGCTCACTGGCTGAGCGAGGTGTGGGAGCAACACCGAGGGTTGCGATCCCGTTGCCGGTCCCGGTCCAGTATGGGCGCGACACTGAGGGTTGCGATCCATTGCCGGACACGAAAAAAGACAAAAAAAAGGGGGGGGGGGAGAATAAGGTAGTTAGATATATGAGCATGAAGCTCAGGGCAGAGGTTTGAGCTAGAGACGGAAAATGGCAGTCATCATTTGACCAAGAAGAAGAGAGAACTAATGACTGAGCACTTTGGTACTCCCACATTGAGAGGTTAGGATTTCTTACCCACCTGTCCTTTTCTTTGCAAATACCCCAGGCCATTGTTTAATGTGAGGAGAGCCTCAAATTAATGTTTTTATGCTATTTTTGTTTCCTCTTTCACAATTTTATGACCCCAGCTCTTCTTACCAAGAGATGGTATAGTAAGACTAAGTGATGAAATACATGAAGATATTAATGATGATTAGTAATGGAGGCTCTGGAGACAGAGGAGTTGAGTTTGAGTCCTGGCTCTGCTATTTACTAGTTTACTAACCTTAGATATTTTACTTAATTTCTCTAAGCTTTGGTCTTTTTGTGTATAATAATAAAAATAATAGGCAACATTTATCTAACACTATATGCCAGGCAGTGTTTTAGGTCCTTCTTATGTATTAACCTACTTAATCCTTAGAACAACCCATTAAGATAGGTTCTATTTTTATCTCACTTTATCATTGAAGAAACTGAAGCTAGAGAGAGGTGTTGTAATTTACCAAAAGCTATGCACTTGTTAAGTGGCAGAGCTGGATTTGAATCTGGGGAGTTTGGCTCCAGAAACTGTGCTACTTTTGTACTGTCTAATTCAGAGTTGTAGTAGTGATTAAATAAAATAACCCACTTAAAGTGCTTAGCACCTAGAGCCTGGCACATAATGTGTGCCTGATAAATGTTAGCTTTGGCAGGAAGCATAGTGTCGTGAAAGAACCAGGTAAGTAATCCCGGGGTTCCAGCCTGTCTCTAAAAGAGCAGCTTGTGTAACCGTGAACAATTTTCTTAGCCTCTCTGGACTTCAGTTTTGTCATTTGGGATATAAAGTCTTTGGACTAGATGGCCTCTGAGGTCCCTTCCAATGTTAAAGTTCTGTGCTATCTATGACTGCCTTAGAATATTGAGACAAATCACAGATATGCTTGAATTTGGAGGGGGAAGGGTCCCACATAACCTTGATAGTTGGGGAATAAGATACCTCAGCAATTCCTTGGGTTGGTAACATTTCTGCTTTACCCTTTTACTCTTGAAGAAGCTTGCTAGGAGTTACTTAAACATACTAAAGAACCATGAGGTCTGGCATAAGACCATCATGTATGGAAATCTGTCTCGCTACTTACTGGTATGACCTTGAACAAGTTACTTCTCTGAGTTCTTGTTTCATCATCTGTAAACTAGGAATAATAGTAGTGCCTACCTCATGATATTATTCCAAATATTGAGTAAGAAATGGCATATAAAGTGTTCAATATATGGTAAACATTTAAATACATTTTAGCTATTATATTATTATTATTATTATTATTATTATTATTATTATTATTATTATTATTATTATTATTATTATTATTATTATTATTATTATTATTATTATTATTATTATTATTATTATTATTATTATTATTATTATTATTATTATTATTATTATTATTATTATTATTATTATTATTATTATTATTATTATTATTATTATGATTCCCAGAGCTGAGAGGATTTTTTAGCTCCTTGAGTTCTACATGAGATAGAAGCCCCTCAGTAATTTTTTTTCTCAAAAATGAAATTGGAAATTACATGGCCAGGCACTCTGGTAATTGGGAACTAAAGGCATGAAACTTGAGTTTTCTAATTGTGCAGTCATGCTTCCCCACTCCTCTCACTGAGGTGTAGGGAACACTTCTCTAAATCAGTTGTGCCTTGCTTTACCTTATCCATAGGTGTAACTGAGCCATTATGGCAAATCTGCTCTCAGTATGGCTTGCATCAGACCTTCCCTGACCTGAGAGTTCCTGAGAGTTGTTCTTCCCTGAGAGTTATTTCCCCCTACATACACCAGGCCTGAATTTCTGGAGGAATTTAATTTTTTTTTTTTTTTTTTTTTTTTAAACCACAGTCAAAAAGAGATTAGCATTCAAACACCTAGCTCAGACCAGGTTAGAGAGAGAAAAAGGAGAAGGCAGGAATTATTGACTCCTATAATTGAGAAGTCCAAGGATTTATCTGGTGTTGAGTGCGTCTGAATATAGGGGTTTAAACACTGTCGTGTCTCTCCATCCTTGCTTTACGTTGGCTTTATTCTCAGGTATGTTTTCCATGTAGCAGTGCCAAATCTACAAACATCCTTATAGCCATGATCTCAGAGAAAGAAAGACTCTCTCCTCCAACATCCATATCTTGGCAGAAAACAATTGGCCCAAGTTGGGACATATATACATACATACTGTTGGTCTAGAGACGAATCTGGTGCTTTCAAATGGTACCCCATTGTTTCTCACCCCATGGCTAGGATTATGATTGACATCCCCACCAAATCACATAGAGTAAGGGTGTGTTTTGTTTTGCTTTGTTTTTTTCCAAAAGGAGAAAAATAGGCAAGCAATAAAGGAAGTGTTGGCAGTTTTAGACTAAGTGATAGGAATACCCATATTTCTACCACCATTATTGATATAGATGAGCTATCCCAAGAAATATCTTGACCTTTGGAAGGTTGGCTTAGCCTAGCGAGCTTTGGGACTAAAAGTTTAAATTGTATGGAGTAGTAACTGTAACTCTCTTTTTACTTCCATTTTCTTCTCTCTCCTCACCTCTTCCCCCTGAATTTAATTATAGTTATTAACTAATACTTAATCCCAACAGCCGATTTTTCCTTTTTCATTTTACCTGCATATTGACAGTTAAACGTAGTAGTTAAGAGTATGGGCTAAGGAGTCAAATGGTCTAGGTTTCAGTCCTGTCTTTGTTATTTGCTCACTTTGAAATCTTTAGCAATTTACTTAACTTTGTGCCTCTTTCCTCATCTATAAAACGAAGGTAACAATATCTACCTCCTGGATAGTCAGTGGACTGTCTAATTTAATATGTGTCTAATGCATAGTAAAGTACTAAAAAACATCAGATACAAAGAGCATTTTGGTACAAAAAAGATTTTGGTATCGCAGAATGGATAGTCGAAGCCAAATTGAAAGAAGTTCTTGGAGCTCTAATTTAAAGACCTAACTACAATGATGATCTTATTTTTATAATTCTTTAATTAAATGGTACATTCATATTGATGTTTAGCTAGCTGATGGATGACAATAGACAATTAACCTCTCGACTTCTTTTTACTCTTTTGGAAAATTAAGATGTTGGGGTAGGATGATCCCCTCCAACTTCATCATTCTCTGATCCTTAGTTGTTTAAATTAAACAGTGAATATTAAAAACTATTTTAAACTATTTTGGTGTATGTATGCGCATGTGTGTGAGTGTTTGTGAGAGAGAAACATAAAAAGATAGGGAAATAGTAAGTTTAAATAGAAATAAACCAAAATGATTTACTTGTTACTTGGTTTATCAATTGACATGTTTGGTTTTTTCTTAAAAGGCTATTATATCCCCTTTCACATTCTGTTGTGTAGATCATTTCTAAGTATTTGTTAATCACCTCTTTTTTGGATTTTTCAAGGAAAGTTTTCTAGGCATTGTGGTATATATTATGTAATACTTATCTTAGAGTTAGGAAACTTGGTTTGGAGACCTTGTCCCACTACTTACTTTGCAGCTTTACCTTGGACAAGTTTCATTCCCTCTTATGTGCCTCATTCTCCTCATCTATCTAATGAGGCATTTCTTCTATTTAATCTTTAAGTCCTTTTCTAACATTCTGTGATTATGTGACTATCACAGCATAGGTTGTGACAGGAGTAGCTGGATTCCAAAGGGAGAACTTTATACCACCATTTCTTTTTGAAACATGTTTGTAATCTGTCACCCATTATGTTTGCTGCAGGATTTCGGTTGAATGCCTCCTCTTGGCCCATGTTCCTTTTGAAGACACTGAATGGTGCAGAGATGGCTCCTATCAGGATTTTCCATAAGGTATGATGTCCCTCCAATATCACCAACTTCAAGATGCTTAAGGTCAAATACTTACGTTCTTTCAATTACTGAGCCTCTGATTTCTATATTATATTTATGGCCTGAATATGCCTTCTCGGAAACTATTTCAGAAGAAGGATTTTTTAGTACCTTTTGAAGCAGCAATTTTCCCCAGAGGAATGTATTAAACTATAAGTTAGGATTCCTGGTTTTTGGGTCCCAGCTGCCAATGATAAGCTATGTCCTTTTGACCTTATCTGTACAGTAAATAAAATAAATAGTTAAGAATTAACTGGAAGGTATATGTAAGGAATTTTCCCAGATTGCAGCACAGAGAGATAAAGAGATGGAAAATATTAAAGAGAAGAAGCAAGGAGAATGATATTAGAAGGTCCAATATATGCTGAACATGAAATCCAGAAATACTAATTAGAAAGAATAGACAAGAGACAATATTTAAAAAGATAGTAAGTGATAATTTCCTAGAGTGTATAATAAAGACAAACACACACCTTAAAACACCATCATGTAACTATAGGGAACTAAAGCCAAAAGAAAAGATCTGAGCAAGTAAACAGAATACCTTCAAGGGATTACTGTTAGGCTGACAGCACATTTTTTGACAGCAGCAGAGCAAGCTAGAAGATTATGGAATAATATGTACAAAGTGCAGAGAGAAAATAGTCATCTACCTAGAATTCTGTATCTAGTTATACTATTATTTCAGAATGAAGGTAAAGGGCCGGCCTGGTGGCGCACTGCTACAGTGCGCCGCTTGGGAGCGCGGCGGCACTCCCGCCGAGGGTTCGGATCCCACATACAGACCGGTTCCCGCTCACTGGCTGAGCGAGGGGCGGGCGCAGTACCGAGGGTTGCGATCCCGTTGCCGTTCCTGGTCTGGTACGGGCGCGACACCGAGGGTTGCAATCCGTTGCCGGACACGAAAAAAGACAAAAAAAAAAAAAAAAATGCTATTCAATTAGTAACCATTCCCTTCTCGAATGAAGGTAAAATCAAACATTTCAAACAACTGTACAAGTTGATACTAACATATCCCCTGAAAGAACAACTGAAGAATACATTTCAGGAAGAAGGTAATTGAACCAGAAGGTAAGAATGAGGTGCAAGATGTAATGGAGAGGAAAGAGATTGGTTAACCTGTGGATAAAGCTAATCAAGCATTCATTGCCTATTACTGTATAAACCAATTATAATAACAAAAGCGATTAATTGGCAGTATAACAATGTAGAACTAAATTATCTAACACCTATGTAATTCAGGAGTAGTTAAAATATTCCAAAGTTCTTATATTGTTTGGCACTAGAAATAAAGATGAGTTTTAGACTTATGTCAACTCTGCAGTTAAAATCTTAAGGGGATCAACCAAAAGACTATGAATAGAATGTGTAACTTCTGGATCAATGGAGGGGGGAAAAGGGAAGAAAACTTAGTTGATTGAAAGGAGGAAAAAAACCTTGGACGATCAAGTTAAATAGAAACATAGACAATCAGATAGTTGTAATAAGTCCAGATATATCAGTTATCACAAGAAGTAAGCTTAAATTCATCAGTTTAGTCATATATAGATTAGATTTTTTTAAATCTAGCTGTATGCTATTTACAAGAGACACTACTTAAACATACTGACATAAAAATGTTGAAAGTAAAAGAATATAAAAGATATACCAGGTAAACTTCTGTCAAAATAAAGCTGGTGTAAACTATACCAAAATTAGGCAAAGGATGCTCTGATGCTTAAAAGCATTAAAGAGGTCAGTATCTAGTGATAGAATAGTATAATTCACCAAGAAGATAAAACAGTTATAAATCTACATATTCCTAAAAAATATAGCCTCAAAGTATATAAAGCAAAATTTGTCAGAATTACAAGTCTAAATTGGAAAATCCACAATTATGAGAGGGTGTTTTAATACATATCTCTCAATAATTGATAAGTGAAGGAGACAGAAATTGGCTTATCAATCAGCATAAGTAAATCAATATGAAATCAGTTGATCAATATTTAGAAATCAGTTTATTCCGGGCCGGCCTGGTGGTGCACTGCTACAGTGCGCTGCTTGGGAAGCGCAGCGGTGCTCCCACCGAGGGTTAGGTTCCCACATACAGACCGGCCGCTCACTGGCTGAGCGAGGTGCGGGGGCAACACCAAGGGTTGCGATCCCGTTGCCGGTCCCGGTCCGGTACAGGCGCGACACTGAGGGTTGCGATCCGTTGCCGGTCACAAAAAAAAGAGACAAAAAGGAAAAAAAAAAAAAAGAAATCAGTTTATTCCTATTTAATAGCAACAAATGGTTTGAAAATAAAATTTTTTTAAATACCATTTGTCATAGCAATAGAATTATAATATACCTAGAAAAAAATGTTAATGAAAAAGCATGAGATATTTATAGATTAATTTAAAAATCTACATTAAAGAAGTCTGCATTAAAGAAATCTTAACAAATGGAAAAGACTGTCATATTCATGGATGGGAAAGCTCTATATTATATATAACAAAGGTTATTTCTTCCTAAATTAATCTGTCAATTCATTGCAATTCCAATCAAAATCCTAGTAGGGTTTTTTAATGGAACTTGAAAAGCTGATTAAAATTTATATGAAAGATGAAGGAGGAAGAATAGCCAAAACAAAACTGACCAGTGACAAAGTAGGGGGACTTTTCCTATGAGATATCCATTTAATACAACTATGTTGTTGGTACAGCATCAGATAGTAATACTAGGGGAACAGAATAGAGTCTATAACATATTTTTTTAAACTTGACCTGTGCAACTTTATTACAGATCAGCACCCAAGAACTCTCTGCACTGCTGTGAGAGTGTACAATGTTGCAGTCACTTTGGAGGTCAATTTAACAATACCTAATAAAGCAGAAGATGTATATATCTACCCTCTAACCCAATGATTCTAGATATATATCCTAAAGAAACTCCCACGTGTGCACAAAGGAACAGTACAAGAATGGTCATTAAAACTTTTGAAATAGTAAACAGTTGGAAACAACCTTAAATGTCCATCAAAAGAGAATGAATAAATTGTTGTAAATATGTAGAAAGGAATACTATTAGAAGTTAAAATGAACTGGAGCTAAATTTATCAATGTGGGTAAATTTCAAAAATGTAACGTTGAACAAAAAAAGCATGTCATAGAATGATGTGTATAGTATAATACCATTGTATAAAATTTAAAGCATTCAAATGGAAGTGTACATACATATAGTAAACTATAAAGGCATGGAAATTATTGCCTCTGTAGTAGGTAGAAGGAGAATGGGATAGAGGACGGGCAGAAAGGGAGAGTCAACTTTATCTGTGAAATTTTATTTCTTTTAAAAAAATCTGAGGCAAAGATGTGAAATGTTAAGATTAATAAAGTAATTCTTTGGTTTACTTTGAAATTTATTTAAAATAAAGACTAAATTTTTATTTTAAATCTTACATAGCAATCACTTTTTAATCGTCCAAATGAGAAAGCAGTCTATAGGCATACATAGCCTTTCTCTTTGTGTCTAGGTCTACATATTTCTGTTTCTCATCTAGGAGCCACCATCGCCTTCCCACAACTTCTTCAAAATGGGAATGAAGCTGGAAGCTGTGGACAGAAAGAATCCTCATTTTATTTGCCCAGCCACTATTGGGGAGGTTCGGGGCTCAGAGGTCCTTGTCACTTTTGATGGGTGGCGAGGGGCCTTTGACTACTGGTGCCGTTTCGACTCCCGGGACATCTTCCCTGTGGGCTGGTGTTCCTTGACTGGAGACAACCTGCAGCCACCTGGCACCAAAGGTAAAGGCCTATCTATATGACCTTGAAACCAGGACCCAGATGATAAGGGAGATTACCCAGGTCTGTCATGGTCAGCATATCTTCACCAATCAAATTCACTGGTAGGCAGGGGAGGAGCAAGTTAGGTAAAAACCTAGGTCTTCCAGAGAGTAATCAGAAATAGTAAAAATTAAGTGTCAACTAAAGCCAGACATGGAATTTGGTATAAAGTAAAAATTCCTTGCTCTAAATGTCCTGGATTATTCTCAGGCAACTAGCTTCTTATCTGTCTTACCTTTGTCTCTAACCCATTTCAAAGTTTGAGTAGTATCATTCTCAAGGCACACATCTTCCCCAGGCCTTAGGGACTTTGTATGTGAGCTGAAGTAATATTGTGTTGTAAAAGTACTTGAGAAGCATTGTAGCAGAATGGAAAAAGCAAGGGCTTTGAAGTGAGATAGATGTGGGTTTGAGTTCCAGCTCTGCCTTTTACCAGCTATGTGGCTTTGAGCAGTTAATTTACCTCCGTAATCCTCAAATTCCACACCTACTTCATAAAGTTATTGTGATGAGTAAATGAGATTACATGAGTAAAATGCTTACATCTGGCAAATAGCAAGTGCTAAACAAATATTTTTTATTGTGGCCGGCCTGGTGGCGCACTGCTACAGTGCGCCGCTTGGGAGCGCAGCGGCGCTCCCGCCGAGGGTTCGGATCCCACATACAGACCGGTTCCTGCTCACTGGCTGAGCGAGGGGTGGGGGCAACGCCAAGGGTTGCGATCCCGTTGCCGGTCCCGGTCCGGTACGGGCGCGACACTGAGGGTTGTGATCCGTTGCCAGACACGAAAAAAAAAAAAGACAAAAAAATATATATATTTTTTATTGTATTACTATCGCTATTATAGTTATATACTATATTATAATTACTATATAATATATATTATACTATATGATTGTTATAATTTGCTATATTATCATTATTATAATACTGTTATTATAAAACTAACCACTACCAATGGGAGAGTATATATAAAGTACTAGAATAGTGCTGCAGACTAAATGAACAATAAATGATACTTCTGATGATGATGATGGTAGAGATCATCCAGGATAGATTTTGAGGTAGCTAGCTGCTCTTAGTAAAGAAAATAATAATAATATCACCTTCTTAAGTCTAAAAAGTACTGTTAAATCTGAGGGAATGGAAAGCCACCCTTCCTAATGTCTGAAGGTCTCTTTTCTAAACCTTTGTTGAATTCATTCATTCAACCAGCCAAATATTTATTGAACTCCTAATTGCAAGCCAGGCTGAGGATACAGCATTGACAAAGATGAACAATGTTCCTGCCCTCATGGCACTTTCACTCTAGTGGGGGTGAGACAGAATGTAAATATTTAAATCAAGGAATAGGTAATTTCAGGTAGATAATTTCTGTAGGTAGATAATAAGATAATTTCTTCTAAGGAAATAAAGGATGATTAAATAGTAGCAGTGAAGGTGCAGTTGTGAAGGGATTTTTTTGTTTAATAGCTTTACTGGAGGATAATTGACATAAAATAAATAGCACCTTTTTAAAATATGCAATTTGAAAAGTTTTGACATATATACGTCCATAAAATCATTACCACAATCAAAATAATGAACATATCTATCATCCCCAAAAGTTTTTTAGGGGAGGGGAGTCTTCTTTAAATGAAATTTCTTTTCAAGAAAATTTATCTGAAAAGTTATGTTTGAATTGAGAACCATGAGAAGGAGCCATCCAAGGAAGGAGAATTCCAAGCAGGCAGAAGAAACAGCTGATACTGTTTTGCTGAGGGAGGCATGAATGAGCTCGCTATGAGTCAAGGGGCGGAAAGCAGACTTTCCTGACTAGAATGCACTGCCTGAGCAGGAGAATGGCACAAGATGATGTTGGAGAAGTGAGCAGGGGGCCAAGTCATATAAAACCTTGTAAGCCAGACTGAGAATTTTAGATTTTATTCTCAACATATTAGGGAACCATTTGAGGATACTAATTAAGGGAGTGACAAGGTCTGATTTACTTTTTAAAAATTGATTGAACTCGGGCCGGCCTGGTGGCGCACTGGATAGTGCGCCGTTTGGGAAGCGCGGCGGCGCTCCCGCCCGAGGGTTCGGATCCCACATACAGACCAGTTCCCGCTCACTGGCTGAGCGAGGCGCGGGAGCAACACCGAGGGTTGCAATCCCGTTGCCGGTCCCCGGTCCGGTACGGGGGCAACACTGAGGGTTGCGATCCATTGCCAGACACGGAAAAAAGACAAAAAAATAAAAATAAAAAATTGATAGAACTTGTGTCCAGAATTTAAAAGAATGCTTCCAACTCAACAATAAAAAAGACAAAGAACCCAATTTAAAAATAGGCAAAGGATTTGGATAGATATTTCTCCAAAGAATATATAAGTAGGAGGTAAGCACTTGAAAAGATGCTTAACATAATTAATTATTAAGGAAATGCAAATTAAAGCCACCAGTGAGATACCACTTCACACCCATGATATGGCTATAATCAAAAAATGGATAATAATAAGTGTTATCAAGGATGTGGAGAAATTGGAAACCTCATACATTACTGGTAAGATTGTAAAATGCTGCAGCCAATTTGGAAAACAGTTGGGAAGTTGTTAAACATAGAGTGACCATGTGACTTGGCAGTTCCATTCATAGGTATATATCCAAGAGAATAGAAAACATATATCCACTCAAAAATGTACCATGAATGCACACGGCAGCATTATTCATAACATCCAAAAAGTTGAAACAACCCAAATGTTCATCAAGCGATAAACTGATAAATAAACTGTGATTTCCCATGGTGGTTGTACTAATTTACAGTCCCACCAACAGTGTAGGAGTGTTCCCTTCTCTCCACATCCTCACCAGCATTTGTTATTCTCTGTCTTTTTTATTATAGCCAGCCTAACTAGGGTGAGGTGATATCTCAGTGTGGTTTTAATTTGCATTTTCCTGATGATTAGTGATGCTAAGCAATTTTTCATGTATCTGTTGGCCATTTGTATGTTTTCCTTTGAAAAATATCTATTCAGCTCCCTGGCCCATTTCTTAATTGGGTTATTTGGTTTTTTACTGTGTAATTGCTTGAGTTCCTTGTATATTCTGGAAGACAACTACAGTTAGGTCTACCATATAATCCAGCCATCCCACTTCTGGGTATATACCCAAAGGAATGGAAATCATCATGTTGAAGGGATACCTGTACTCCCATGTTCTTCACAGCTCTGTTTACAATAGCCAAGATATGAAATCAACCTAAATGTCCACCAGTGGATGACTGGATAAGGAAAATGTGGTATATATACATGATGGAATACTACTCTGTCATAAAAAAGAATGAAATTCTGCAATTCACGACAACATGGATGAGCTTGGAGAAATTTACTTTGAGTGAAATAAACCAGGCACAGAGGGAAAAATACTGCATGTCCTCCACTCACAAGTGGGAGCTAAGAGAGAAAGAAGGAAGGAAAGAAAGGCCACAGTGATGCATTGGACTTGCAGAGGGAGAGAGGATACCTAGGGATACAAAGTGGGGTGGAGGAAAGGGGAGGGGGAGGGAGATCGGGGATTAATTGGGTGGGGGACACGGGTATAATCACAATTTGTGGTAATGAGCATATTGCCAGTATTGATATGGCCATCACATCTTGGGCATGAGTGGTGATGGCCAGCTTTGTGCCCCATGAATATTCGTAACCAATAGAAAAAAAAACCTGTGGTATATCCATAGAATAAAATACTATTTGGCAATAAAAAAGGAATGAAATACTGACACGTGCTACAATTTAGATGTACCTTAAAAACATTATGCTAAGTGAAAAAAGCCAGTCACAAATGACCGTGCACTGTGTGATTACATTTATATAAAATGTCCAGAATAGGCAAATACATAGAGACAGAAGTAGATAAGTGGTTGTCATGGGCTGAGGGGAGGGGAAATAAGAAGTGACTGCTAATGGGTATGGGATTTCTATTGGGGATGATGAAAATGTTCTAAAATTAGATACAGGTGATGTTTGCACAACTCTGTGAATATATTTAAAAACACTGAATTTTTGGTATCTGAATTATATGTCAATAAAGCTGTTATCTAAAAATCACTTGGGCTACTGTATGGAGATGGGATATACAGTGGTAATTGTGGACAAGGAAGAGATGAGGGTTCGCTTTGATTAGGATAGTGGCACTGAGGTGGAGGGAACTTGGGGCAAGGTAAGGGGAAGACTCACTTCTTGGCTCAGGAAAGTGTCATTTCTCTATTTGCTGCTAGAAATGAGTGCCCTAGGGTCAGTATGAGAAATCCATTACCATGCCTCTGCAAGCCCTGTTAGGTAATATCTCTGTGGAAGCAACAGGAAGAGAGGTGCCTTGGAACTGGTAGTGGAGTCACTTGTATTTACTTGAGGTTAAAGCAGGATAAGGCTTAGTGCTCCAAGCTTTATTCAGTTAGTAGGCTGATTTCCTCACTTTCTTGCCTAGACGATTCTGTTATTTTGGCTGGTAAATCTCCCAGAGCAGTTAGGCAGTTCTCCAGAACCAGAAGAGCTGAGAGTTTTTGTGTCCACAAATCACAGGACATGCATTTCTTTCTGGCTGCACACCATGCTGATAAGAAATGACTCATTCTGGGGTTGATGCTTCCAGAAGACTTTGCTAACTGTTTTCCTCTCTTCTATGTCTCTCTGGAGACCTTAGATTTTTAACAGAAGATGTCCAGAAGGACCAGGCTCACGGGTAGGGAGAGACCTTCTAGATGGCATTTCCAGACCAGGTCCTTTGGTTATCATTCCAGCAGCCAGTTGTTTCCTCCAACTCTCTCCTCCCCTCCCTCGTACCCTCAGTAGATCCTTTATCAGAGCTTTCTGTAATAGCAGAGATTCTGCCATCTCCATATGCTGACTAAGGAGCAAGTGATACAATGTGGAAAAAATGTGGTTACTCAATTCTTTTCACAAAACAGGATGTTCTCTGTGTATAAGCCCGTTCTCTTTCTAATCAT